GCTGCATATTGCTGTTGTTTTTTGGTGAGAGGGCGCTGAAGCCAGGATGTATGGTCAAAATCTGTCATAAATAAGTGAATCATGTTTTAAGAATACTACAGGTAGCTACCTACACTGTTTCCCAGGTTGTGCTGCGACTCCGTGCTCTCTAAGGGTGAAGTCCAGGCCATTTAACCGGTGTACAGTTTTATACCCGATGGCATTCGTGGAGAGCTCACGCCTTGAAACCATTCCGCTCAGCCTCTGTATCCTTCTATTCTCTCCTTCCCCGCGTTTTACACGGGAAACAACATCTGCGACTTGAAGATCGATGACACACTTGAGTTCTACGTTATGGCCATGCAGAAGCTCGGAAGCGTCCTTTCTTCCATCGAAGACTACCTTAACTATCTTCATAGATTCGAGAATAGTGAATAATTTCTGAAGAGGGTTCTTCTTTTCGCCGTCAAAGGCCAGGATGTCGATCAGGTAGACGTTCAGCTTCATAGTACCGTCGTCCGTTTGTTCAAGTTTACCAAGGTTGACAAGGGAGAGACGACCATCAGTTGTGCCCAAAGTCTTTCCTTCGCAATCTAAGAAGAGGGTATGGGCTTCATTGAAGGAATTTATGGCGTCGTCGAGTCTCTCTTCCGTGTCGCAAAGTGTAGAACTAGATTGGACCATCTGTAATTGATCGTTAGATCGTTAGCCTCTCATATGATGTGTATTAATACATTTTCTCGCGTTATTTGACTGTCGAGATGTGCAGGGGGGTCCAAAGTAAGGTCAGGCTCTTGACCCACAGAGAGGCGAGATCCGTTAAGGCTTGCCCCCCTCGGTCAGAAGACCCTATCAGCTGGTTCAGCCCGAAGCGATATTCTCGTCCATTATCTTGGAATATACAGCTTAGTTGTCTCTTACGAGCACTCAGCCATAAAGTAATTGGTGTAACATAAGCAGATATGGGCTGAATTTTATGGTTGTAAGCCAATTACATTGATTTATCCGAGGGTTTCGATTTTTTCGTGATTTGGTTGGCTCTTGGAGTAGTCAGCTGAGCTGCCGCCATCCTCGCCAACTACCAACCGGTATCTAGCTAAATATTGCTTTATTCTACGACCAACCTTTGCCCTAATACTGCTCATCTTATGATGTAGGCCGCCTAGTTTTGAGTATTATCACTCAAATATAACATAGTGCACAGTATTATATCTAGTAAGAAATTTGAGGGGGATGCGAGCGTTCCCTCAAATTGTGTTACTGAATTTGCCTCAAAGAAGATTCCCGGAGGGCCGTAGTATCAAATTTTATTACGGATGTAAGGTCCCTACGTCATATTATACATAATGGGAAGGGAATTCAAGATGAAGCTAATTTCACGGTTAAAGCTAATGTACCGTCTGACTCCAGCTCTGCATCCAGACATAACGAATATTAACAGCGTGGCACACATAACAAGGAGAGTCGGGCTTCTTTCCCTTCACAGTCACTGGAAAACAATCCTTGGCCAAGAATTTCCGACACCCCACGCACCATAAGAATTTGCCACAATAATTGGGTTGTTTGAGAATACCGAGCGGCAAGAACCCATGAGAATTGTAGATGTCGGTCGACGCTGGCCGTGCTTTTGCGTGTTGTATGATATATCGCGCACTCTGTTCCTCGATGGCTCCATTTATGAGACCTTGCTCTAATAATGTAGTGTGTAGAAGTACTATCATATGAATATCGAGTGCAGCGTAGTGTTGGTATTCGATATCAAGTGGCCTTTGCATCCATTTCGAATGGTCAAGTTCTGCAGGGACGGTGAAATTACGGATTATGTCAGCGTGGTACTCAGAAAACCTGGCTCTGAATCGATTCAATCAATGAATTGACTTACTTATTTTTGATCCGGCCATGATTCCGTGTTCCGTCAGAGCAGAGACAAGTCCATTGAGTTTATGGATAGATTTGAAGAGGCACTCGTTCTTTAGCAGCTCACGTCGTGGCAAAGAGCTTTTGAGACGATTCAGCTGCATAGTCTGAGTTTCTCCCTTTGTCTCTCTCGAAACGATGTCGGCAATTTGAAGATCAAGCACTCGCCGAAGAATGATGCCATAGCCATGAAGGAATTCCGATGCGTCCATCCTACCATCGAAGACGACCTTGACAACAGCGTCGGATTGAAGAATGAAGAAAACAGGATATAAGAACTCGATTCCTCTGTCGTGAAAGGCTAGGACGTCGATAAGGAATATGGACAGGTACCACTCTCCTTGCCTCGGCTCGATGACCCCTATGCTAATGATCGACAAGCTACCCTCTGACTGACCGAGATGATTTCCTTCGCAGTCGATGTATATCACTGGGGTAGTTGAGAGGGCGTGGATAACGTATTGTAATTTTTCTACGCTATCGCAGAGATGAAATGAAGGCGACACCGACATAACGAAGTACTGTGATTCGAATGAAGAAATAAAGAATGAAGAATTGGTGACGGTGAATCCCGGTTTGCACTTGAGAACGAGCTGGGACACTTAAGTTAGCGTTGTGGAATAGACAAAGGTTGGTCGAGATTGACTTACGCCACACGCTTTGTGATCTACGTGCAATTACCCAGTCACAATCGACGATGTAGAACCCCCAATGACTAGTGTTCGCGAAGGAAGAGTGGAATCAGGTAGATAATAAAACAAGATCCACGCCCCAGGTTTTATACTGCGATCGGAATAAAAGTGATCGAGTTGGCCACCAACCACAAGCCGGTGATCAGAGCCGATTGGCTTGCCGGCGGCGTGATGGCCTTATTACTGGCTTTTTTTAACTAACTGAGCACCGCCATCTACACACGAGGACAATGGGCAGGTTGAGTGGCCACACCAGTATCTAAATGGGTAAGCCTCAGATCAGCCATTTGAGTATTAGGTCCGGGTAACTAACGCGACCCTAGATGTCCACCTGAGATTATTTTTTCTTCATTTCGTATCTGCTGTCGCGAGGCTAATTTTCATATCCCGGGCTTGTATGGCTGACGCCCCCAATAGACGTCCAGCCAAAGCTCAAGGAGTGGCGCGACTGTGAAGCCTTTCAACATGATCGCCGTCTCTGGGTGCCAATCTATGGGATTCCGGTTCAGCCCTCCCGCAATCCCTTTTGTTTAGATGGAAAGGAATAATAGAAAAGCACTCAGAGACTTCAGTGGGCATGAATAAGGACACATTATTATCGAAAAGTTCTTTAGAATACAAATATGAACAAGAGTCATTGAGCATGAGACAAGAAACACTCCACCCTGCACGAAGCGTATTTGGCAATTAGCCAAGACAAGACCCAACTTATATAGTCACCCAATTCACTTCCTTTTCCAGGATTGAGTCCACTTATCACGAATAAAGACAGCACGGCAGACATAGCAGGTGGTAGGCTGAGCGCGTTTACCTCTGTCCTTAGCTGGGAAACAATCCAAAGAAAGTGTCCTCTGGCAATGAATGCAACAGCGAAATACTTCATTATTGGACTCAGAGCTCAAAATACCGAGAGGTAAAAACCCATGACGGTTATAGATATCGCAGGGGGAAGGTCGTTCCTTTGCGTGCTGCGTCACGTATCGCCCGCTTTGAACCTCGATTAAGCCATCGATGAGCTTCTTCTTCATCAAAGCTTCATGTAATAGTAGCAACAAGACGACATCTTCTGCAGCATAGTTCTGATACTCTTCCACGAGTGGTCGTTCCATCCATTTCGAGTGGTCTATTCCTATGTGATCGAATCAGCAATATTCGAGAGCAAATAGGTGATTCCTAAAAAGTGTATACTCACTAGTCTTTGATCCGACATTAACCCCATGTTCTAACAAGGCAGGTACAAGTCCATTGAGCTTCTGGACCTTTCCAAGAAGGCTACCATTATCTTCGATCTCTCGTCGTGGTAAAGAGCCCCGAAGACGTTCCAGCTGCTTGACAGTGCTCTCACCTCGTCTACTTCGAGAGACAATATCAGCAATTTGAAGGTCGACGACTCGCTGAAGTGTGACATTATATCCATGGTAGAGTTCGGATGCGTCCATCCTCCCGTCGAAAACGACCTTGACGATAGCATCTGACTGCAGTATTTTGAATATGGGATCAAGATGCTTTACCTCTCCTTTGTTCCGGAAGGCGAGTACGTCAATAAGAAAAACGGATAGTTCCTCCTTTTCTTGGTCCGTTGTGAGAGCTCCCAAGCTGATTATTGCCAAGCTGCCTCTTTGCTGACCGAGTTCATATCCTTCACAGTCAAAGTAGACGGTAGGAGCAGCTGAGAGTGTGTGAATAGCGGCTTGAAGTAGGTCAAAGGTGTCACACAGACAAAACGATGCCATTATTTGCTATTAGTTTGTGTGGATGGATAGAAGGTGATAGGCGAGTTGGATTCACGAGACGATATTTCTGGTATGAATGATATGAGGGTAATAGAGGAGCAATGTGGGAGTGTCAACCGATGGGGAAACCAACCAATTATATAGTAACTCGGTTGCAAGCCAGCCAACTCCAATGGCAACTTCGCTGGCTCAGTGAAGGCTTAACCCTCGCCTTTGAATAGCCCATCCCCAAGGCTTCTCTTCATATTAGCCCCAATAATGCTTAACCTTGCGGCGCATCAATGCCGTATGGCTCATCGACTTGGCTACTGGCTCTATTGGGCTGGCGAAGTGCAGTGGCGAGTCAATTGTACTCTATTACCCATTTATACTCGTAATTCGTGGCTGTTCCATGATTATTTAGCTTGGACTAATATAATTAGTATCGGGAGAACGATCAACGATAACATTTCTGTTCTCTTCCAGAGGTTTTCTCATCCAAGGTAAATAAGAGATACAGGAACGTGAGTCAAAAACCATCCTATTTGTGCAGAAAAGTTAACCTTTAGCTACTGTAACATATACAAACGACACTGTAATACGATAAACATTCAACCGTCACTTAAGCAGAATATATAGGCCCCCAATTACTTCTTTTTCCAGGACATAGTCCAGTTTTCCCTGATTTGGACAGCGCGACAGACATAGCAAATGATATGGGACGCGCGTTTACTGTTGTTTTTAGCTGGGAAGCAATCTGCTGGAAGTGTCCTATAGCACCGGATACAACCCACCGACTTTCTATTATCTTGTGGGCCTTGCACGATACCGAGGGGCAAAAAGGAATGGCGACTATAAATGTCAACAGGAGATGGCCGTTCCATTGCATGCTGCATGACATATCGTCCGCTCTGCTCTTCGGTAGCCCTGCCGATAAGGTTCTTGTCTAACAGTGCATTGTGCAGAAGTAATAATAAATGCACATCTTCTGCGGCATAGCGCTGATACTCGGAGTCGAGTGGTCGTTCCATCCATTTCGAGTGATCAATTTCTATGAGGGCAAGTTATGATGTAAATAAATTGTCCAAGAGTATGGC